TTTAAAATTAAAAAGTGAACTGGTCGATATGCTGAATGTGTGCTTTGGGCACTGAGACGTAAAATGAACCAATTAGCAATTAAAGTCACTCGAATTGGCAGATAACAAACAATAATTTTAGGATGTGTTTAGAGGGTAATATTTAATTTAGAATATTTTCCATTTACTTTTCATTATTTGCCTCAATCACCCATTAGCTGGCGAAAATCACTCCCACTTACCATGGATCCAATCCTTATGCAAAGTGACATTGATGTAATTCACAGGTGTGTTTAATTCCATTGGGTTTGACAAGGTTAAAATATCGTGCACACTTCGTGATCTGCAATCACTTTACTCGCTTTCTTTTCTGAGGAAACTACTTTACTTCCAAAGAATGAGCTGGTCTAACAAGTGGAAGTTCGAGCTGAAGGCCCTTTTTTCACGTGTCGGCAATTTACCTATTTTTAGCAGGAAATTTTGGGAAACAACGGACTTTTCAAATGCGTTTACTACAGCGACGGCCATTGTTAGCCGATCAATGCAAAGTGCTCAACAATTGACAGCCCCCTTGATAGCCGTTCAATTCATGGTCCTTGCAGTTCTCCCGGGTAAACAAGCATCATTATTAAGAAAGTCGCCTTATTTAAATATTTTGCAATTAGTTGTTATTATATTTATGCTTTTTAAAGAATTGGTGCGATCGAAATCAGAGATTTAATAAATATAGAAATATTTGGAAACGAATTTTTGAGTTAATTTGTTATGGAATTTGAGTTATTAAATATCAATACAATTCGGTTCCAAGGAACAAACCAAATATCGTGTTTTGACGATAATGAAATGTTCATTTAAAGGAAACCAAAACGTATCAAAGTAGGAGTATTTTGAAATATTTTAATTTAGGAAGAAACTGATAATTTTACCGGCACCACATAAACTACCTTAGAATAACAAAGAAGACCTTAGAAACACGTGCATTTCTCTGTCTTCGTGAGAGAAAGATCTCCTTGTTTCCTATCAAATCGTTACTATGGCCAAGAAGTTTAATAATTATGTCTCCAATTCAATGATCTTTAATAATTTTTATATAAAAAGCCGTACAAATAACAGCCCATCAAATGAGATGGCCAGTAAATAGATTAAATTAAAGTGATTAGCCCTTTCCATACAGGTATGTAGATGTAGTATGACCAGATCCATGAAATAATGAATCTATCTAATTAAAAGTTCTGCTATTGTATATAAATCGTTGCCACGAAATTAGTAGTAGCAGAAAGTTATTGACACCACTTTGTTTCAAGGACTTACTCATCCTCTTCACTATTCTCAATATCCACATCATCACTATCATCATTCTCTGTCGTTGTTGGTGTTGTCGACATATTGACAGGCAACAGAGTAGATGAAATAACTTCGGAATTTTTTCGAAAACCTGTGTTATCACATTTGGCTCCTTGTCGTTGTTGTTCGCAGTCGCCCTCAGCGGAATTCCTTAAAATTTCACGCCCACGTAAGACAGACACTTTCCAGGCTTTTAAGTTCCTTACCTACAGCATTAAAATTAGGAAAAAGGAAACAATTTTTTGTTGCTTTAATTTAAATTAGACAACAATACGAATACGTTATTAACACCTGTAAGCAGGGTTAGCATAAATTAGTCGTTTCAATTGAAATTAGAGAGCATTTAAGCATAGATTTTGCTAGCTGACGCGCAATTTTGAAATCACGTCATTTCTCATGAATATGATTGATTATCAGATTTGACCGACCTCTAGCGCATAGAGAAGAAATTTCGGTGCAAGGAACATAGCTTAAAGATGAGATATTTTTAATTAATAATTTCAAACTGTATACATAGTAGACTAAAGAGACGGAATTTTTCTAAGCCATAAAATTAAAATCTTGAAATTTAATTTAAGCGCCCAAAATAGTCAGGAATTCCGTTTACCTATAATGACAGTAAGCATAGTTGTTATTGGATAAGCAGAAGCACAATTCAAGGTGTGAAAGATTAAAGAAAATTTTCATTAAAAATCGACGACTTCCCGACGCTTATATCTAAATATCAGTAAGCGTGGGGTGTGCGATAGACTTACCTCCTCGTGGTGCACCCTGGGCAACGTTTTTTTAAATCGGCAAAAAAGTCTATTGACTGGCAGTTGACTTCTCACTTCAAACTACCATCACCTCACTTTATGCCATATTCGACTATTTCACAGTACTCACCTTACCTTTGTTCTACCTTTGTGTTTGTCTCTTACATCTTTGAAACACTCTTCTGTTCTCCCCCTATCGATTTTTTTCAATTTGATGTTCCTTCCTCTCTGTGAAGCCTGAAGTCAACTAAAGGGCTAATGATAACCATCAAGACGCCTGCAATTTGATATAAGTAAATAAATATCAGTAAGCGTACTGTTTAGTTTACAGTTTTACCTAAGGAGCATAGAAATGAAGTTCTCTGTGAGTCTCGGTAAATAAGATGCTTAGTCGAAATTTAGGGTCCGGCTTTTGGAGAGACAAAGGTGAATCTAATTATGGGCTATTTAGCAGATCTAAAAGCTAACATGGATTAATAGTAAGGTATTCATTTAAGCGGCTTATTAATCTATCATAAAAATTGATCTATCATATATATCATATCATTTATAATGGGTTCAACTTTAACTCATTCTTTGCTCCTTCTTTTGTTATCGATTTATTTCAATTTTTAGTCATCTCTTTTAGAGAAATTGATTATCGATTTATTCCAGCTCTCTCCAATATGTTGGCATATGATACTTTCTTTTGCGTAAATTGTATTCACAGAAGTTGAATTATTGTAGGGAAACGTATGAACAGTGGATAGTATACAACAGTGAAATACCGAGCTGACGAAAGGTGATGAGTAAAGTAACAATTGAAACCAGGGCGACAAAAACAATTACACTACACGGGTTCACTGGGGTGGCTATTCTTCTCTTGGGTATAAGCCCAGCACTCTGTGTTAAGGTCTCAGAGCTTAATCGCCCGCATATTAATTTAAATGTCTGTAAAATACCTTAAATACGGGTTTTCCTTTAATAGCCAAGATACCAGCAGTTCATATGCCCTAAAACAGTTAACAACCGTTTACGCAGAGTGATCTACAATAGTTCTTTGTGGTTCCTAATTACAGTTTCCAGTTCTCTATCATACTTTAGTAACTTCTCGCCTGAACCTTCTGTGCATTTTAAACTGAGATTATGTTCTTAAACTCACCTCCTCTGCTAATCGTCGAATTTCGTCGGCTTGTTGTAATCTTTCTCGCTCCTGCTTGGCTGAAAGTGCCCGAAATTCTTCCACTTGTCCACGAAGTAATTGGATTTCAGTTTCAAGTCCTCTTGGTGATCTTGCTGGACAAATTGAGGGGTCTGGAGAAAAAAAAAGAATCAAGAATCAATCTACTAAATTACCATCCGTAGCATCTAAATGCCCAAAAAATCGATCTTTGTCTTTTAGCATTCATAACCCACTTCAAAGGAAGTATTTGGAAGTATCATTTAAAAAAGGAAGCAATGCCTTCGACAAACATAAAAATTGGGGTCAATTAGGACTTTAAATGTTTCAATTCTTTCAAAACGTCACAATAGAAGAGTCATTTATTTATAGGAATATCAGTCTCCGAGATGGCGATAAAGGTAATGATATTCTATTTAAATTGACTTTGAGGTGGTAATATGGTGAAGACGGTTAGACTTAACATCATTTCGGAAGCAAAATGGATATGAACACTTACTCCTAGGAGAAGAGTAAGAAACCAGTGAAAATTTCAAATCACGTGAATCAAATCTCCCTTCCCTCTTAAAAACCCCACACTTTAAATCCTTGAATATGACTAATAAAGTAAAGACTAGATTTTATATGCGCGGACGATTTGCCGAAAAATTACTAGCAGTGAAAAACTGTTGTTGTGTTGTTTTGCTCTTCTAAGAGCCTTCAATGTAGAACAGGAGAAAATGGTTCAGTCATTGTGTTCATACCCCCAGAAAAGCTGAGATAACAAAGAGGTATTGGTTTAAGAAAGTAAGTTCTGCAATAAAGCTTCAAGTTCAACTGTCAAATGTGGTTAAAAAATCGATACATATGACTAAAGCTAGGNTATATATATATATATATATATATATATATATATATATATATATATATATGGTTGTAGATAACAATAAATTGTCTGCAGATCTACACACTGCATCCTTGTGATAGTCATTTATTCATCTATTCAAATATATCAAAATAATTTTAATCACTTAGAAATTCGGAATTGAAAATACACTGAGGTTATACTCAACTAATAGATAATTAAATTTGACCTTTAGTAAATAGTGTCATTATTTATTGATTTTCTATAAATGAATAAAAATGTTTTCTGTCTTTAACCAGTTTGTTCAATTACTAGTGCATAGGCATGGATAATCTTCATGCTGAAGACCTCTCAATAGGCATTCAAAACTCGAAGAGTTCAATAGTCCCCGAAATTCCCCAGATGGCCTAAATTAACAAAATTTTTTTCCGGATTGAGCTACTTGAGATTTAGTTAATTTTGAATAGTTTCTGGAAAGAAAACATGTTACCCTCGTGAACACACAATTCACGAATATTTTGTGCTACGAATTAATCAGATCAACAATTTGAGTCATTCAAACAGGCATTATCATCTCAGGTATACAAAATCATATTAAATAAGAGGAGAAAAAAATATTACCTTACCTAAGGGAGTAGGTAGGATGCCATTTAAAGCTTAAACAATAGAAGGCACACAATTTCCCAAAGTGTCAATTTCTGTGATTATCGTCAAATATCGTCAACAACAATGTCAAAATCACCCCTTTTGTTGAGAAGAGGCTTCTGAAAAGTCTGGTTTGGGTTAGAGGAATTGAGTTGAGGTGTCAAAAAATCAAGTGCCTTGCAAAATATGCAAAATGAAACAAAATTTCCCGCTTCCTATTTTACGGCTCAGATGAACAGATCATTGATTTTCTGAATGAAGTTGTGATCGTGTCATCTAAGGTTCACTGACTAGTTGAATAATTTACACTGACAAAGGATAGCAATCGATGGGTATTCGGAAGACAAAGCGAAATGAGTTAGTAGAGGGATAAAGCAAAGATGAAATTCGAACAGTGTTACTTGAAATATTTGGAAAAATTACTGGAAAACAGACCAATCCCCCCCCCCCCCCCCCCCTCCTCATTGAATGCATGCTAATGGTCCTTGACCTCTTGACTTAGGAGTTGGAAATCGTATTCTTAAATAGTTAGAAAGCACTTACAATCTATCGAGTTTGTCAAAGGTCATTCTTAAAGTGGGTTCATCCTCCATCCTTTCTTCTTTCATTTCATCACTATCAGAAGACTCCTTTTGTCGCTGGAAACACGAAAGCGCAATTCCTGGAGATTTTAGTCGATGTCCAGTTGATTTGAGGCGGTTTTCCTTCTCCGTGGTAGTAGGTACAGATAAGGGTTTTCTGAATGAATTGATAGATATTGTTAAAATGAAATTAAATTTGGCGTTTGGTATTTAACACAACCAGGGTTGCGCGATAGCCTTACCTCAACAGCAAAAAAAGTATATAAACCAGCAGTTGACAACGGACTTTAAACTACCATGACCCCATCATGTCCTATTGTACCACTTACACAGTATTCACCTCATCTTACCTTTTTATCTACCTATGTGTCTGTCTGTCCCTTTTACACATGCGAAACACTCTTCCGTTCACCCACCCTTCGAGTTTTTTGTCGTTGATGTTCCTTCCCTCTGTGAAGTCCGAAGTCAACTAAAAGGCCAATGATAACTATCATAAAGCCCGCAATTTAATACAAATATATGTTACAAAACCATTTCAAAGATAGGATTTCCAAAGAAGACCCTATATTTTGGAATAAAATGCAACTTTCTACTTATTGTACAGTCTTTAGGGATTGGAAAGTTATACTAATGATTCAGATCATAGTTGCAACTTCAAAGAATTTACGAATTTCAATTTTTTACTCTACTTTAGTAACCAGAGAAAATTTCAACGTTAGTAAACAGACTATTTTAAACAAATAACAAATTAGGTTGAGGGGTGTACGATAGATTTACCTCCACGTGGTGCACCCTGGGCAACGTATGCGCATACGGTAAAAGGTCTATTAACCGGCAGTTGACTTCTGACTTCCAACTACCATCACCCCACCGAATGTCATATTCAACTACTTCACAGTACTCACCTCACCATTTTTCTACCTTTATGACTGTCTCTTTTGCATTTTTTGAAACACTCTTCTGTTCCCTCCCCCCCCCCTCTCGNCTCATCTTTTTTCTACCTTTGTGTCTGTCTTTTCTACATCATTGAAACACTCTTCTGTCCCCCCATCCTCTCAACTTTTTTTCATTTTTTGTGTTCTTCCCCTCTGTGAATCCTGAAGTCAACTAAAGGACTAATGATAACTAACAAAACGTCTGCCATTCGATATAAATAAATAACTTATGATGAGAAGATAGCCATTGAAGAGACCAATTTGGTCAGAAGACCTGTGTTCGGAGTTTATTGGTTAAGACCTAATGAACCCGATTGAATAACAACACCGCTTAAGTCAAATCAACATGAGATGTGATAGAATGGGTGTTTCTCATTGGTTTGGCTCAAAGTCGTACTTCTTTCCTTCTAATGAAGTGGAATGCCGCTGGCACTTTTCTTAATGAACTTGAAAATTAGAAGGTATGTTTCTGACATCCGTCTCAGTAAGGAAGAAGAAATTAGAAGAGTTATTTGTTCTTCTATTTTGGAAAATAGTGTTTTCCCACATAATGAGGACTACAAACAGGAGACAATTCAGGACTTAAAGGGGCAACGAACTCAAAGCTCGAACGAAGGAGAAGCATTGGACAGTGGCACTCTTCAACATAGCCGACTGGCCAAGAACCGAAGCTATTGCGGAGTTTAGACTGCGTACCGTACACGATTGCCTGGCGAAGCACCTTCACAGAATAAGCGCATACACTCAACCAGCACGCCTCCTATATGACTCACAGGAGGTAATGGAGAAGACCCACTTGATTCGATGTCCAGCCCTGAAGACAACAACAGATACCCAGAGATACTGGGAGGCCAGAAGTCATCTAATGAACTACTGTTAACTGTTCTGAAGTCTATATGTATATGTTCCTCCCCCCCCCTCTCCCTTGTGAAAGCCGAAGTCAACTAAGGGGGTAATGATATGTATCGTGTAGCCTGCCATTTAATATAATAATCCTAAAAGGTAGAAATACTTTGCAGCGCAAGGCAAAGAGTTGAGTTCAACATGATTCGTCCTTATTTTATTGCTAAAAATATGTTATGTGAAGAGGAGAAAAGTGCATTCTGTTTTTTTCAGCTCAAATAAGATTATAATTCCCAAATCGGCACAAAGCTCCGAATAAACAAATGGCATTAAGCGCCGCATAAAATACACGATACAAACGACGATTCGTCTTAACGGAAAGAGTAAGTTTATTTGCATAAACATGTGTGCACTTGCGTAATAAAGTGGATTCGATCGAAGTCGAAATATCACCATTTCTTTTATAGGTATTCATTGTGAAAGGAATAACACACCGAGAGAGCTTCAAAGTGCAATCATTCAGTAAATAACATTGTCCTTATTCAGATGGGCAGTTATTTGGTTTCAAAAAAATAGTATCATGAAATTGAATTTTCCGTTTTATCGCCCTGAGCGAATTTTCGAAAAACCCTGGTATTTAAACTTGTAACATTTTAATGGACCATCTATTCTTCAAAAAGATATGAACTCGATGTCCTCAAGCTGGACTTTGTGGAGCAAATAACGTTACCACCTCTGAACAAAGTAATCTTAGCGCATACAGATAGGCTGGAAGGTGCGGACGTGCAACTTCGCGTAGGGTGTAGGAGTGGCGTGGCGCGGAGACCACAGCCAATCGCCAATCAATAGGCCTCGCTTGATTTTTCAAACCCGCCATATTGACATTATGACTAAGCTCCACGCCCATACACGCACGCCACATACCCACTCATAAACACACATCAGAGATTAATGTTTTTCGGGTGATGCGTGTTTCCTCAATGGCTTTGCAGTAGCTAAGCTATTTCGTGGAGTCGTTCCAAACAGGAGAAACTGCCATAGAGATTACTGAGTACAGTCGGGGCTTATTAGTGTAACATTATGCTACAACTTCCAGTTAGCAACATTTTCAAAAAAATAATAAACACAACTAGCGACTAAACGCGGTATTATAAGAAGAAAAGGTTCAAGCAAATTTGAGTATTAGGTAAACGTTTAAGTTAGATTGACGCATATCAGTCTCCATTATTAACTGATGTGCGGAGATCACAAAAGATAGCAGAGTTTGTTAAAGTTTGGAATGGGAATTTGAACTGAACTTCAAACTCTGTGACATAGACAAAAAAGTTCAGTTAAATCTTACAGAGCATCTCTCGACTCTAAATTCGTTCATTTGGATTAGTAGTGAACGTCGTATTTACTAATATTTATTTAGTAGTATTAATTTAGAATTCTTAAACTCACTGCTTGAGTTCAGAGCGGTTTTTGCTTGTAGATGGCTGAAGGGACTTTTTGAGATCATCCACTCTTTGACCTTCATCCTCACTCTCTATTGGAATAAACACAGATTCCGATCGCAGAAGTTGCTGATTGCTGAAACAATACAATTTTTTTAAATATATGTTAGAAGTGAAGAAAAAGTTAAATTACCTCGATGTTGGGAAAAAGTTGTAAGATAGCACAGATGATCGTTTTTTAGTGGTAAACTCGCGCTAAATATATAAAATTAACTATAAATTAGTACAAACGACTTACAAGTGACCCTCTTAAACCATAAGCTGAATCTGCATCTACATTTTCAACTGAGTCAGAAAGATTTTGAGCACTCCGAGCTCTCTGTAACCAACCTGGAGGTGAGTTCCATCTCGGAAGATTTTGAGGTAACTCATTCGCGGCTGGAAATCCCTTTTTAAGTACGGAAGCTCTGGAATTAGCCATTCGTCGCACAGTTTCACTTTGTTTTCGAAAACGGGATTCACCTTTTCGAAATGGCTTGAAAAGTGTATAAAATATCGCTAATCATATATCCACACATCTAAAACAATTATATTTTGTACTATTCAAACAAGATGATGATGCAAATCTACATCTACATAATTTGAGGGAACTATGGGGCAATTTGTACCATTGGTTCCGAGATTTTCACTTCATCACTCATCTCATAAGCACGTGTGCGTTCAGTTTTTGCTACTTATCATTTTGAAAAACGGTTACCCAGGGCGACAAAAGAAATAGAATGTACCAGGAACAGCTTAGAAATCAAGGGCGTAAGTTTCTTATCACCTCTAAAATCCTCTTAATTCGTTATATATATACATGCTTTATCACTTCAAATTATTACACACCTTCAATTATGTTTGATAAAAACCTTACTATTAGGCAATATCTTAAAATACAACCAGGGTTAGGTTATGACCGCTTTCAACAAATAATTACCGTGTTCATCAATGTGACCAAATTATTGACCAATTGCATATTAAGATAATGCTTCCTTTAACACTCGTTTATCGATATGTTCTGGTTATCGCACTTTCACAACCTGCATTTCATTTTCCATTACCCCGGACACTTCTTCCCTCAGTTTTCATGACTTGGTTATCGTATAATACAAAATTCACGTTATCACTCCTCACCTTATTCCAACATTGCTAATGGTAATGCATTTAAATTTTGAAAGAAGGGATGGCTATCAACTAATCATAGATCTAAAATTCTAAAAGACAATGGAAGAACATCTAAGGTAATGCGCATTATCAACCACGCGAAGAAGTGACGTGAAATTGCAAGTCCACGCCTTCTTGAATTAAAACAAAAATACCAGTCCATAAGCACTGTCCAAAGTAGAAAAGCATTTAGCCCTACCTGAGGGGACAAAGAGCGAAATTTGAATTCTTGAACATGAACAATCCATTTAGTAAATATGGTGCAATTAGGATCCAAAAATCAAATGAAGCAAGATCGTTGCTACCTCCACAACGCTTTCAGCATCTCATTTTGACCACCTCCCTTTAATAATTTGTTTGATTGACCGTTATTTAATGCCAGGTGAATACTGCATTAGAATACCAGTAGTAATAGTTTAACGCTTAGGAAAAATGGTTCAAATTGTTAGGAAATAACCAAAAAAAGAGTTTTAAAATCAATTTTAGCAATAAATGCATAAAAGTGGACCTACTTCGGCATTCAGACTTGACAGAAAATTAATTAATGCTGATTCATTATCTTCTGGTTGGTATTTTGAGATGAGTTCAACAAGCGATCTAGATAAAAGACGATTACAATGCGTACCACTTCATACCTTTCTTCTTGAGAAGGTTGACTACCGTCAATAAAATTTAAAGTTGGGAGAACGGATAGTATAAAACTCCTGCTGTGAGGAATTCTAATTTAATTATTAAGGAAACAATATAGCATTTGACAATAGAGGCTTTGTAGCTGTGAAAATAGGATTGGTCAAAACAGCCTTATTTAGTAAGTTTTGGAAATTTGAGTTAGAGCTTTTCTTTAGGGTTTTAGATGTGATTGTAAAAGTGCTAATGGTAATCAAACTTTAACCTTGAAATTCTAAAATTCCACTTTCCCAAAAAAAACAAACATTGGACATAATTTACTCAATTTTTCAAGACGAAACGCTAAAGCCAACGAAAAAGTGCTATAAGTTGCTGCAAAGCACAAATTCATAATATGGACAACGACTGCTAGCGGAAAGGTGGCTTAAACTGGAGATATTTATTATATCTAGAACAAGGAAGGTGGGAAAATTAAGAACTGCCAACAAATGGGCACTACTTCTAATAGATCAATAAGAAACGACTGTCACTTTTTGCAGCTTTAAATAAATTTCGTACGAAAATTTTAGAAGCCTTAAAAACACAGAGACCCCTTAAATTACCACCGAACAGATCTAACAAATTCCCTTTTAGAGACAGGAGTTTCAAAGAAGTTCTCCTAAGAATGCACCCCATAATTTCCGACTTGGCGCCTAGTACAACAAAATATGGTAGAGAAGGCAAGCGAAATAAACTAAATTGTTCAAATTCACGCCCCCTATCAAGGCAAGAAATTCTATTAATATAAAAAGAACAGCAAAGTAAACTTGAATTCTCATGGTGTTTGAATTCCCATGCTACTTATATTAATTGAATGATAGTATTAAAGCAAAATAAACAAATATCACACTAACATTTTCCTTTCGACTGTGCAGTAAGGCGAATAGAGGGTGAATTTTGTATTTGTCATATAGTCGTATCTAACTGCCCCTTTTCAGCCACATTTGTCGAAATTAGTGAGAGAAGATGAAGAATACGGCGGTGAGTATTCATTATTAAATTGAGATGAATTCTTAATAGTCGGGGCACAAAATTTTGTTCATTATAGGACTGTGACCCTTTTCCCATTCTATGTAAACTGGTAGACAGTTTCTATAGCGCACAAAATCCGTTCAAATACATTCTATCATTCATCTACACAGTCTGCAGTGAAAAATGAAAAAAAGAAACTTTGTCATTCTGTGGAGAAGTCAAAACTATCGGTTTTGGAAAAATATCAACTGAGGGGTTCATGGTATATCTAAATCAAAGTTACCAAGAAAGAGTAAAATGAACACAAAGATATGCCCATAGTACAACTCAAAACCAACACATAATAATAGCATGTAAAATAGTGTTTCTTCGATCAAATGCCTGCTTAAACAAATGATTAAGCTATTAAAAGGATACTGGTTAAAAGTGCAAATATTTCCCTGAATTGATAGCTGAAGGAGGGATTGGAGATGAGAAAGTTGCTTGAACTGAACAAAATAATTATACAGAGTAGAAAATTCATACCTCGATTAATTCACTTAAACGATTTTCAGCCAATGACAATATACGAAGTGATGTTGGTAAAAATGTACCAGCCGTTTGTAAGCTTGATATATAGTTACAATGGAGAAGTAGGGTCTAGACCTAAGTTATCATAAAGGGGACGGAATACCTTCAATTTCAATAAATGCGATAAATCTCCGAGTTTCTCAATCTCATTTCCCGAAAGATCTAAGTGCTTTAACGCTAGGTTACACGAAAGATTTTCAATTTTCTGAAGAGCGCAAATATCAATAAAAAATTTGTTACTTTTATTCTGTTCCCGCATAAATTTAACCACGTCAACTGGGGAAGACAATTAAGACCTAAAACGATACTAATTAGGAATTCCTTTACGTTAAACTTACTGCCAATTTCTGTGATATCATTACACGCTAAATTAAGAATTGTTATATTTGAAAGATTTTCCAATCCATGCATATTTTTCAGCAGATTATTTGCGATCGACAACTATAATAACCTTACGGATTAACAAAATTACTCACTTGTTGAATTTTAGTCATAAATGCAATTGCATTAATGGTACGAATATTGTTTTTGTCTAAAATAATTGATCTTGCATTCTCATATGAACTGTCTATGGTTTGCAATCCCTGTTCAGCGAGATTAATAACCGCTGAACACATGCTTATGGAGTCGAAAATGTTCGCGGCAAGATATGATACAACAGAGCGTAACTAGTGGCAACGACATTGAACAATAGCGTTTATTGGGTCGTACAATATTGATATCCATTCTAGTAAACGAGCATTTATTTCGAAACCCGGTAATCAATGAAATGTTACTTATTAGTTTGAAGCATTCTTCAGTAATTTATTCAAATGACTTTATTACATAATAAACACATTCAATAAAATCTTGAAATGAATAGTTTAGTCCCTTCATATCTAAATTTAATTGTCTATCATCTTATATGAACAAGGGTAACTCATGTGGTATTTATTTCATCATAAAAATACAGGTTAATTAAAAAATTATTTTGCAAAAGATATTCCTCAACATGAATTACAAGTTAAGTATAGTCTACATTGCAAGTTCGTGAAAAGATTTTTGAATAAAAATTCTTTAGAGCTTCGCGATGGGTACAAAGCAATCATTACGGGTTTGAAGATCATTGAGAAAAATCCGGTAATCAATAGAAAGGGTAAGCCTTCATTCAGGTATTTGTTGCACGAGATATGACAGAAAATAGATTAAACGTAGTCATAGTGGCTATTAATCAACTCTTTGAAAGTTTGTGGAATATATTAACTGCCATTACTATTTAATTTATTATGCATGCATTGGCTAGTTCTTCCTTTTGAAACAATTTGAACTAAAGCATAAAGGCTATTTGGAACATAAAACGAATTATATATATCAAGATCACTTTATCAAAGCTCAAATTAATTAGATTGTACTCAAGCAGAAATCCGGAAGCTAAATTCTAACTTTTGAAGTTGAGAATATGATTACTCGAGTTTTACCGAATAAGTAATGGTTTTGAAAGGCTATAGCTATCTTTAAGCCAGACACTTTCAAAGCTATTTGTACTGAATACTATCACTTCAAAACTTATTTGTTTATTTTAATTACCTTGTTGAGCATGACTGTGAAACATCACGAATCCTTTTTGATATAGCTAATTATTTGTTTATGCAATGATCTGCATGTAATTATCAGAGGGTCGTCAATTAATGAAAAGTATTTAAATTCAAAAAAATCTACAGCGCCTGTTGTGATTTTGATGAATGGTTTGTAGCACTCTAATTATTTTCCAAAAGAAACTTCTCTTTGGCATTATCTACATTTATTCTGGGTATGCATTAAACTTAATGTACGCTGGAGATGAAATGCTTTGTTACTTCCCCTAAAAATTCTTTTATGATATAGTCGTTATAATTTTACTCGCTTTTTGGGTGTTTAGCAATCTAGATTATAGTTGAATCGATGAAAGCTGTGTAGCCAGCAAAATAAGCGTATGCTTCCATTAGTTTAGGATTTATGAATTAAAGGATAAATAAACGTTGTATATACCTTAATTGAATTAAAAACAGAAATAATAAGTGGTTACTACGTAAAAACGGGGTACTGAAAACAATGTATCTGTTAATTACTAATGAATTAAAATCAGTTAAAATAATACAATTGTTTATGCCAATTGTACAATGGACTCAAAACCCCAAATCACAGACTTTAACAGATCATACATCTCATTAAATCAGCTCTTATTTCTAGTTAATAGGAATGCGAATTATTTTTTTGAACTACTACTTTACTGACCTTTCAAGGTCGCCAACTTTATGGTAGTAAACTAGAGCATTATGATCAATACGCATAGGCAATAAAGTTTTACATCATTTTAGCCATCTATTAATTCACTCAATAGATTCCTTATATAATGAATTATCTTTTAATCGCGTTTTACTTTTTGGCTGTATATTGTGAGGGAGTTACACGTAATAACGAAACAGATTCATCAGTTGGTATTTCGATCTCTCCTTCTCTAATCGAGATAGAGCTAAATAAAACGGCCAAAGTATTCGTCGATTTTATGTATGCCTTGGTTATACCTTAATTTTATTTTTTTCATTTGCACGAATTTATCATCTTTATTACACAATTTACAGTCGTCCTATATCTAATAGAACTCGCTTTACATTTACTTATCGTGATGCTTCTGGGGAGTATTATATCACCAGCAAAAATTTACCAATCAATCCACTCAAATCTTTTACCGTAGAAGCTGGATTCAATTCGACTTATGAGGCAACCATTTTTACGAATAAACCAGGATCATTAAAATTAGGCATTACTTCAGCGAGTTTCAACATTACATAGTAAGTCATTTTCAGAGCCTTATATGTGTGACATTTAAGTTTCGACTTGATTCATGCCAGTATAACTGTTTATCGACTCAAGTCGCTCATCACACTGCAACAACTTGTTGGTTGGACTTATTTTCTAGCTTGGACGTTATCATTTTATCCACAAATCATTCTCAATTGCAGAAGGAAAAGGTAATTTGCTTATTATCATTGATGTCAAAATTCGATTGTGCGTCATATTTTAAAAATCTCACGCAATTATGCCATAGTTGATTTAATCATAATTCGGTATCCCATTTTCTTCTTTATAGTGTCGAGGGGTTGAGCCTTGATTTAATTGTCTTGAATGTGTTAGGCTTTCTCTGCTACAGCATATTTAACATCGGTCTCTATTGTATTCCCATGTTTCAGGTTTGTGCTTACTCTAACTTACTAGCTTTATGTCACTGGTTTCTACTTACATGACTTAAGTAGGATGGTTTTTACATTAAATTTTAGCAAGAATACTTCAAAATCTACCCTCTAGGTGTTATTCCTGTTCAGCTCAATGATCTCTTCTTTAGTATTCACGCTCTGATCATTACCTTGATTGTTGTCATCCAATGCTTCTGTTACGGGGTGAGTTATTTCTAGTAGCTACATATTTCATTATTAACTTTAATTTTAGTAACGGTCATGTTGCACTAACTTCTTTTGTCCAACTAGGTAACATATTTGATTTCGTGACCAAACAGATAGGATTTTCATACTGATTGTTACTTGATCATGGTAGGCTCGGCGATCATTCGTATTGTCAGACTCCTCAACTTCATGTCATCTTTGGCTCCCTGGACAAAAGCTGCAGTAAAAAGCATCATACCACCTGAAGGGGATTGAAAAAGTGATAGTAACATAACGTGAATACACGGCCTTAATTTCTGTGCGGAAAATTTTGCCAAAGTCATTCCTTTTATTCGAATTTAGCAGATTAGGACTCGTTGTGTCAAATTTGTTATCATTGCCTATAGCGATGCATTTTCAAGTTTGTATCATTGGAACCAGAATAAGAGACAAATGCTAATACTTAATGTGGTCAGAATGTCAAGAGTTATGGAAGCATAGGGTATGGATAATAATACATTAGAGACATCCATATGTTTAAAAGTTTAACTTTCGGCCCCGTGTTAGTTAATCCCTATGGTTAATCATGGTTCTGAAGTTGGTCTTTACGGTTTCAGAATGGCAAAGTAGGTGAAATTACTTCAACAGAGGCGCTTCGTATTTGGCTTAATATGCACCACGTACCATTTAATGCGAAACTTCCCACTAGATCTTTTTGCATACCTTGTGGTTGGAAATGGATGCTGCAGTGTTACAGGATGGAACCTAGCGTGGGAAAGGGCCATTGGTGGAGGATGGACATCCTCGAATTCTGCAAATGAGGGAGGAGATAAATACATTAACAGAGTATTTCATTGAAAGGGAATAGACGGAAGTCGATGACCTCTTAATTAGTAGGATGCGCAATTACCATTAAGTGGCAGTGGTGACATTAGGGTAGAGATATCAAATAGTCGATTTTAGATCAGGAGTATGGCCACTGAATTTCCCCGGAGCAATTCTTCCTGCTCGCGAGTCGGTGTGTGTGTCTTTGACTCTATTTTCAGCGGTTAATATCGAAGGTTAAATCTGTGGGTGCGTGATAGACTTACCTCCACGTGGTGCACCCTGGGCAACGTATACTCATACGGCAAAAAAGTCTATTAACTGGCGATTGACTTCTGGCGCAGTACTCATCCTACCTTTTCTCTGCCTTCATGTCTGTCTCTTTACATCTGTAAATCACTCTTCTGTTCCCCACCCCTCGACTTTCTGTTACTTTGATGTTCCTTCCCCCTGTGAGACCCGAAGTCAGCTTAAGGGCTAATGATAACTACCAAAACGCCTGCCATTTGAAGTAAATCTGTGGGGATGTTAACCACAACTTAGTTTTTATCTTAAATTATTATTGCGAGCTAACTAACGGTTTGTCTTACGGTCGTTATGCTTTATATCATCCTTTGTTATCCTGTTAGAATTTTCTTAGATAAGTGGGGGAGTTGACTTCTTTGTTGCTGCGTTTAGTATTATTATTATTTATTTTACTTCATTTACTTATTTGAAGCTGTTTTTTGCACTTTTCAAGCGAGGTTTGCAAGGCGTCTCAACGCTGTGCAGAATAATAGCCAGTTGTATGCTAATTTTTATGGCTTTCTCCACACTGTTGGCTGCTCTTAATTTCATCACTTGGCTCTCAGCTCTCTACCTATTCTCCTACGTCAAACTCCTTGTTACGCTGATTAAATACGTTCCTCAGGTGAGTTTTGTGAAGTAATTTCATCGAAAAGTGGGATTGTAGTTTTGAGATCTCCTTTAAGCGAGGAAAAATTTTGATTTGGTCAATCTTTAAATGACAGGACAGCCTTTATGTAGTTCATTTGACAACAGTTTTGGGGGGGGGGGGGGGGNGGAGGACAGAAGGCCAGTAGAGTTCCAACGTGAAAATTTGTAAAATTGAAAGTCGGAAAATGTTTATATGCAGTGCTGTTGACATAAAAATTGACCCCGAAGTGCCAGTTTTAAAATGTCGATGAAATCCTATCATAAATGAACTGCTTACTTTACCCATTGTAGAAAATTTTGATTGAAATATACCTATTAAAAAATCTACCAATCAACGAGTTCTTAATATTTGCGTATTCAATCTTTTTCATAAATCTGGATGCCAATTTATGAAAGTTGAATCGCGGAGTATTATAAACTCTACTTCTTATGGGAATAAGATCAGATCAATGTTTTCGCAATTTTTAGCAAAGTTGGAATCTCAGCGTCCTACTTCTTCGTCCTCTTCATCGTTTTGTGTTTTATTAAAATTGTTTGTTATTCATCCTATTCAGGTGCTTCCATGGCTTTAAAACTTGCAGTTATTTTTTTGCACTCCCATGCGAACTACTACTGATAATTAGTAAGTAGTATAATTAAGGAAAGCCCTAGCGGTAATGTACTTCACCCCGTTAATTGTTATCGTGCCTCCACGGATTAGTGCGACTCCACTTCTCCACCTCCCCCCCCCCCCCCCCCCTCCCGGTTACTGAGTTGGCAACCTCTTCCTTTCAGAGAAAGAACTGGTAGCTTGAGTAGAAATTTTCTTATCTTGGGGAAACACTTATGAGGTCTGCTTTGGTACAGGGTTGTTAAACGTGAATTCTACGGGTAAGTCCTCAAATTGGAATATTAGAACACGATTAAGTAGGGGCGCATTAAACCAAAGCACTCTTGTTTCCTTTTAACTAAGCTTAATTTAAGCCCATCTTGCCAAACACATAGCTATCGCTGTTGTAGCTATTGCGCAGTATGCAAATCTAATGAGCGGAACGACCTTCATATATCTGTTTGGCTTCAATGGAAAAATAAGTCAACTATCGTGCGTTTTTTGGTTGTTTCAGCTGGCTAGCTGTAGCTTATTGTTACTAAAAGCTCGAAGGTGGTATTATTTATATATTTGTATAACCAATGTATTCCAACCTCAAGGCCATCTTGAATTGTCGTCGACGTAGTTGTGTCGGTTGGAGCCTGGGAAATGTTATCTTCGATTTCATTGGTGGCATCTTCAGTATCGCCCAAATGTTCATTATCGCCTACAACTGCGGTAAAATGCTACCATTGCTTTAATTTTTGTGTTTGCAATGAAGACTTTTAAAATCTGGGGCTTAGTAAAGTGAGGAAAGAGAAACCAATCCGAAAAGTGTTTTTTTTCGTTTGCACTCTCTTCTTGCAAAAATTTTGACAGAATAGAAAGCCAACGTTTTGCACTACCGAGGAGATCTAGGGCTTTTAAGAAGTAATGCTGACATTAGTGACTATTCTATCTAATTTTAAGAATGATAGCACTTCACGAAGTAGTAAAACTGTCATTTGAATTGAGATGGATGACATTTATTGTCACATGAACTGGATCATCCTGCTTTTACCTGAACTTAAAATTCAAAATTGAAACGTGGTTTTCCTATTCTAAAGGCTTGACTGAATTAGCTCCGCACGTAGCCTAGGAAGGTTGTTGTCAAAGGGTGAATCAATCCCATACATGAGCAATCGCAATTTTCTAATGTAGGAAAATTTTCTTTTGCGATTCTTTATTCGAGTCTCCGAAAGGGTTGCTAGAACTGTGATGGTCTCCGGTCTTGGAAAAATAAACCTCTCGCTGATGCAAAGGTCGTCTTACTTCTTTCAAATGTACTATTCTATTTCTATATATATAGATTCTGATCTCATGACTTCTGGTCTTCTTTTGGGGTTAAGGGGGGGTGGGGGGTGGGGTAGTGATAGTCTTGGAGGTTATATTATAGGTAGTTTTAGTCACCTCTTAGTTATTATTGGATATTTTTGAAGGAGTTCAATTGGAATTTTACTTATAAGGCAAATTGGAAGATTGCCATTTTCTTGAGTTGATTGCAGAAAAACTTGTCCAATCATTTTTGGAAGGTGGACTAGTCATTATTTACTCTTACATCCGTCATATTGTGCGAGAACTGAGAGGGACTCGTCAAACCCCGATATAATTAGAATGGAGACGAGATTCATAGCTAGTGATAAAAGTGTTTGGATATGTAGAGTTTGTACACCTTCTTTGCGTAGAACGAGATATAGGAATGTTGTTGTTGCAATCAAAGCACACGAGTCAATCGACACCACGATATCTCTAATCTGTTTGGTAATGACAGTGTTTTTTAACACTTTTTGTGCTTGGAATGTTATCGACGGCACCTTATAAGGTGGGCATTTTTCACTGATTATTTTGACTAGTCTTTTGTTTCGTCCCTTTAAAAGTGCACTTTTTTCTTACTCCTCTTCTGTTGCAGATGATTGGGGTAATGTGTTTGGATCTCCAACAAAACTCGGTTTGGGTATTGTTTCGGTCGCTTTTGATGTCTTCTTTTTCGTCCAACATCACATCTACAAACAGCAACCAAATGTGCCAATTCAACGTGACTCAGTAAGAGAGGGAGGACACGAAATTGAAACGCCTCTTCTCGGTGGTGAAGATTTTGAGAACGATGCCTCATAAAAGCTGATTAATTATGCAGATTATGATTTCAAACTCCCCTCTTTTGAAATTATTTTTTATTCATTATAATGACTGTGACTTTGTAAATTATTGTACGATAATTTGAAATGTATTTTAGTGCCAACAAAAAAAGACTCAATCACGCTTCAAATTGTTATAAATTTAGACAAATGGTTACGTAGCATTCTATAATTGTCCTAGCGTTCGTTGTAGGCAAAAAAGTCTACTAACCGGCCAAAAGATACACACAGTTTGGACAAGACTTTAAATTAGTAAGCATTAATCAAGGTTCAAAATAAATGAGCACAATTTTTAATCTCGATCATTTTAGCATTGTAGACAACTGGCAAAATGGCATCTTTATTATTAATAACAGCTATGTCTGGCAAATATATCTAATAAACAGCATTTATTCATTAAAAGCAAATACTATTAGGTTGGCAACTAAGTCATTGCCAATTTCAAATAAGAAGGCGAATTCGGAATTTTTGTTTAAAAATATAACTTTCTTCAATTAGATATTGGCCGTTCTTGTCGATGACCTTTTTCCATCGTTCTGGCAGAGTAAAAATTCCCCGTTCGTAAATGTCTGGTCTTTGCTATTAAAAAACTGAATTAGGTGTGATCCGACATCATCCGCGTTGTTAAAAATTTTACCATTTAAAGAGTTTTGCATGGAACGAAACAAATGGTAATCCGAAGGCGCAAGGTCAGGGCTATATGGTGGGTGTGACAAAATATCCCAACCCAGTTCCAATAATTTTTGCCGAGTAACCAAAGATGTGTGGGGGGGGGGGCCTTGCGTTATCATGATGGAAAACAACACCCTTCCGATTTGATAATGCCGGCCGCTTATCTTCAATTGCATCCTTCACTTTTTCGAGTTCTTCAACATACACATTTGAATTTATCGTTTGGTTCTGCGCCATGAGTTCAAAATACAAAATTCCTTTGTGATCCCACCAGACTGACAGCATAATCTTTTCTTGGTGAATCTCTGCTCTTGATACTGTTTGGGCTGGTTGATCTTGCTTCACCCATGATCTCTTGCGAGTAACATTGTTATAAACTATCCACTTTTCGTCGCCAGTAACTAGGTTCTTCCTCGGAAATGGATCATTCTCATTGCGTTTCAGTAGCGGCGAATCACAGATGCTAATCCGTTGCGTCAAATGAATTTCCTTTAACTGGTGAGGGATCCATAAATCGAGTTTCTTGACATAACCAAGGGTTTTTAATTTTTTTTCAATGCATGTATGCGACACATTGGGCTTTTCTGCAATATCTCGTGTTGTGCTGTGACGATTTGAATCGATACTGGCCTTGATATGGGTTTCATCCACTTCGACTGGGCGGCCAGATCGTTGCGAATTTTTCAGTGAAAAATCACTGGAACGAAATCTTTCAAACCAATTTCGACACTGCCTTTCTTTTAAGGCTTCATCTCCATATACGGCACATAACTTCTTTTGTGCTTGCGATGCGTTCTTGCCTTTTCGGAAGTAATACAATAAAATGTGTCGGAAGTGCACGTCCTGTTCTTTCATTTTTAGATTGGGATAAAAACAAAACTAAAGAATGAGTGAATCTGTCAACAAAAACGGCAATGACTTAGTTGCCAACCCAATATAATTGTCCTAGTGTTCGTTGTAGGCAAAAAAGTCTATTAACCGGCAGTTGATTTCTGGCTTCTAACTACCATCACCCCACTCTATGTCATATTTGACTACTTCCACCTCACCTTTTTTCTACCTTTGTGTCTGCCTGTCGTCATTACATCTGTGAAACACTATTCTGTTCCCCCCTCTCGAATTTTTTTCACCTTGATATTTCTTCTCCTCTGTGAGGCCTGAAGTCACCAAAATGGCCAATGAAACTAACAAAGTGCCTGGCATTTGATATAAATAAATAATTGTCCTAGCTACGTGATTATAGCGGTGTCTCATGGAATCATTAACCCAACTGATACAAAGCTAAGGTTTTAATAGCCTTCTTTTAACAAATATTAACCAAGGTGGTGCAAATTGCTCAGGCTTATTAAGCGAAATATTTAGGATTTGGTTAAGAAGAAGAGGAAGAAGTTATCTTGAATTTGCCTCTTACTTCAAAGTCATATTTGGGGAAACAATTAGGTGGCCGCATCCAAATCAGTCGTAACATCAAGAGGGAAGGCTAAATAAGTACAAAAGCAGACTGCGTGTTAGATAGAATGCAACACATTTTTGGTAATCAACGACTTACATTAATCGATTTATTATACAGTTGGGGGGTATTGGGTAGGTTAAGTGACCAAATAAGTACCTAATACTACCAGTTCAACATCTATTACCCCATCCGCGCGGAGATAGAGGATACGCTTGCCACTAACCACAATGGCGAATTTAGGCTAATGTTAGAGATCACATGCTGATTTTAATAATTTTGACAAACTATTTCACAGGTCATACTAACGAAATGAAGTAAGAAAGGTTGAGCGGACAATGCCTCTGAAATTGATGTAATGTGCATCTCCTCTACTGACCTCATGACTGAATGAAATCCGACCAACTCTGATTGATAATCCCCTCAAGGATTGCTCAATTACGATTCGTTTTTATTTGTAACTTTAAAAACAAAAAGTAGGAGAAGCTGGTGCACTCTTTATAAGCACTAAAAGCAGAATTTAAATTTTTGTAGAGGTGACGGGTAAGAGAGAGAGAGAGAGAGATTTTATTGCCTCAAGGAAGCTCCCACCATTAAGGTAGTAATCGTAAAATCTGGAATAGTCGCAAATCCAACCCCC